CACATAGTCGACTGTGGTTTGAGTCCCAAACCCAGTGGCTTGCTTTCTCACTTTCTCTTTCTCTGATAAGTACATGTGCCCTATAGCAAATTTTAAAAATAATAATAAATAAAATTAAATAACTATTTTTAAAATTTTAAAAAAAAACTTTTTTTTTTTTGGAGAGATTTTTGCTACAGGGCGCGTGCGCTCACCAGAGAGAGAGAGAGACAGAAAGATAGAAAGTGAGAAATCACCCCCCAGGGGGGATGGCCAAGCCGCAATCCCTTCTCCGTTCTCCTCTCAGGATGTTTGGGCAAGCTTGTACATGTGACTGGTGTGATTTTCAACTGCTGAGTCTGGGACCCAAACCATGGTCAGCGTGTGGGAATCTAGAGCCTTAACCACCATGCCACCTGCTGGTCTCTATTCATTTACTTTTAATACCAACAGAAACAACTTGGCAGTGTGACATGCATCACAGTCGCTTGTATCCTTCTGGCCTATAAACTTTATTTTTCTCAAAGTTCTTCATTAAAGCACCTGCCCATGCCTGGCTCACTGTAGACATACAGGCAAGTACTCGCCAACTGAGACAAAATGAGAGTGGTATGTTATCACTCCAGGAGAAATCACAACTCACAGGGGATGGAAATCCACTGTCCAGATCAAGGGTAGGTGAGGGGCCAGGTCCAGGCGGTGGCCAAGGAGACACAAAGACAGAAAACCCAAAACACAGGGCACTCCAAATTAGCAGAACACAGTGACAGCTAGAATGAGCAGGGTGCAAGAGGGAGGGAAGTGTCCAGGAAAGCAGGACAGGACTACAGAGGGGACAGGGAAGCTGGGAGGAGCATGAGTGCCCCTGAAACACCGCCACATGACCCTGCTGCTGGACTGCAGGTGTAACCATCGTGTACCCATTTCTCTGCCAGCATCTTGGGCGAGAGCTCGGAGGGCCACTGCTGCATCTCTCAGATGCCGGGCCAACCTCGGGACAATCAAGTCCAGATTCCTCAAGACTGAGTCCTTTCCAGGTTTGATATCTATTATGTGGTTACAGTCCTCTGCTCCTCTCTGACAGGATGAAGCTGGCAGCTAATAAACAGGGAGAGCCCCAACAGAGCAGATGCCACCCCAACAGTAAGGAGCACCCAGAAACATCAGGAACAAAGACTCAGCAGCTGCCTTCGTCAGAGTCACACAGTCCAGTGGCCACAGAGGCAGAAGAATCAAGACCTTGACCCCTATGCAGACACTATGGCCTGCTCTCCCAGGAGTGCTGCCCCCCAAGATGATTTCAAGTGACAGGTCAAGGTTGGGAGAGCTCCCCGAAAGGTATAAGCTGGGAATTTAAGTCTATCTAACTGCTCTCATTCTCTAGGACTGGTCAGAAGAATGCTGGTTCCTGTTCCCATCCTGCACCTCCTCCTAGGCCTGCGGACTCTGCCTCCTGGCTCTCACTCACACCTATCCACCTAAAACACACCGGTGACCTCTTCCATGCTGGGGACTGTGCAGGATTCCTCAAAGGCAATGAGGAACTGTCAACCTCTCTTCTTGACGTTAAAGGTCTTTCTCTCTGGCCTCTGTCTTACCCCTGCAGCCTCATCACCTCCTGCTGTCCCCAAAACTCCCCTAAGAGATGGGTTCTCCCACCTTCACCCATTTTGTCCTGAAAATTACTATTTCCCTGTCAAGGCCCCTGTGTGGTCCGTCAATGGCTGAGACTTTCTCCCCAGAAAATGGCCATGGTCTGGGGTACCAGAGCTCTGGCCAAAAAACAGGGCACACACAGCTAAAGGCCAAATGCCAAAGCAAGCAAGCCCTGGGATTTAGCAATCTGAACTCTCTGGACTCCTCTAACACTATGCCCGGGTGTGTGGGCGTCTAATATCCACTGCCCAACTAATATCTAATATTTACTAATACTAATTCCACTCCCCTACTCTAGGACCGGTGGGAAAAGTGCATCCTGTGTGTGTGTGTGTGTGTGTGCACGCGTGTGCGCTATTTTTTTATGCTATAGAGTGACTGCACCCCCTGGAGAGAGAGAAACAGAGACAGATAGGGAAAATGAGAAAGCACCACCCCCACAGGGATGGATGGACTCACTGCAATCTCTTCTCATCTATTCTCCTCTAGAGATTTTGGGCGGGCACACATTCACATAGGCTGGGGGTGTTTTTCAGTTCGTGGAGCCCCTGACTCAAACCTCACAATCGCAATCGGCCCTGTGGAATCCAACCACCTTAACCACCGTGCCACTGGCTGGCCAGGAAGAGTGCATTCTTGAATCAAAAGAGGGGCCTCTCTCCCCAAGCCCATACATTTAGAGAAATCCCAGCTGGCTTGCAACCTGAGTTCCTCCAGTCTTGCCATCCCTCACTCCCCCAACGTCCGTCCTAAGCACTCAACGAGAACTCGGTAACTCGCTGCTTGGCCCACGAGTGCCTAAGACCCATGCACCTCGAAAGGTGGCCAGAAAGCACGGCCTGGCTCCTGCTCCACCAGCAGTCCATTTTCAACGAAAAATCTGAATAGACCTAGAGTCCGGGTATCTCTTGGTGCTTGTGAGTTTTCCTGAAGTAATCTTTACCTACCAGGACGAAGAGACCTGGCCCGGCGAAAGGACGACAGGCAGGGATTTCCCTCCGCCCCCACGCCTTCATCACCCCTGCGGACCACAACAACCTGGCCCGCGGGTCCGACCTACACCCACAGCTTCCCTCCACCCTCCCCCGCAAGCTGCAAGGAAACCCTAGGGGACTTTGCGCGCAAGCGACGCCCCGCCCACTGCCCCCAAATTCCAGCTCATCGGACTCGGGACGCGCCGGCAAGTCCCGGAGCCTCGGGGATCACAGGGCACATTCTTCGCCGCCTCCCCTCCCTCTGGGCACGAGGAGCGCCGTGGGCAGAGCGTGCCCGGCTGCAGACAGGAGCGAGAAGGGCGAGCGGGGCGGCCCATCCCGCGAGGGGCCTTGGCCTTGGGGACCGCAGTGGCCCGCCAGCTGCAGGGAGCCCCTCCCCCTTCCCTCCAAGGCCCCGCCCGGCCTCCGGGCCTGGAGGCGCAGATGTCCCGAGGAAGAAGAGGTGCTGAAAGAAACAACCGGAAGGCACTTACTTAAAAAGCTACATAGTTTTGCTCCTAGCCCATTTCGGCGCGGCGGCAGCACCTCTGGGCCCCTCGGATCGGACCTCACGGCCCACCACCCCTGCGCGGTGGCTCAGCTCCACAGCCCACCCCTTACTCAGCCGTTGGGCGGGGCGTCGCCCCAAGGCCTCCAATCGGCCCAATGAGCGGCTGGCCTTATCCAGAGGGACATGGCCGCGG